TTTTATTTTGGGGTAAAAATCAATAAATCAATGCCACGAGGGAATGACTGAATACAACGTGGCCATGATTTAACTAAAACAATGTCAAAAAATTAATTTGTGGGAACAAGTTTAATTTGTGGCCATTGTATCTTGTTTCTTTTCCCTTTCAGTCATGTGCAGAGCTCCGTAATTTGCAGGATTTCTACTCAGGTAATGACTGTTATGGCGGCCCTACCTAAAAAAGTAATATATTTAAAGTACATTTATTTCATACTAGGTATAGTTCAAATCTATTTACATATTTCCTGACATATCGCTCGAGACTTACTGATATAAAAATTATAATGAAACTTTATTTGGAGTACTACTTGTGCACAATGCACATTTCTTAATATTAAGACTGAGGATTGTATGATTTTTGAGTAATATCGGTCTTTAAATGCAAGATATTTAAAGTGTACCTAAAGTATATTTGCAATAATTCCACTTTAGCACAATCAGATATACTTAAGTATATATCTTTAGTTGGACTTCAGCACTACTTCTGCACAATTAAAGTGCATTAAGTGTGAATTAAGTTCTTCCAATTTATTGTATTATTTATTAAGTATACCAGTTTAGTATACAAAAAAGTACAATTGCAGGGTATTTGTATTAAGCACATAAATATGTAAATGTATTTGTAGTATACTTAGCATAAAAATAAATGTATTTCAAATACATTTTAGTATATTTATTTTTTACTAGGGGGATCAACAGTTTGCTAAGCAAATTAGCTAAATTCAATATGCACAACTTACTTGAATAAGTAAGAATAATTAATGCATTTTTTAAATAATTAGTTTATAATTTTTTGTTATAGCTAACATCATCTAGACTTTTAAATATTAGCACTAAAATGCTAAACTTAAGTACTTGTGTAAACCAAACGCGCTCAGTCAGTGTAGAAACTGGCTTTAAATGGACAACAACCACTGAAAAGGAACCATTAATATCATACCTGAGAAGCTAAATGTAAAGTTATACTTCTTCTCGCTGCCGTTTCAGCTGATATTCTGCACTGCCACTCGTTGTTTTTGAAAACAGCGCAATGGCGATCATGTCAAGTATACACACTTAGTGAGAGTCCAATGAGTTTGCATGCACAGTCTGCAGAGGTTCGCATGACAGTGCCAAACGACACTATAAACAACCAGTACAGTAACACAACCTACATTGCATGTCATGTAAAGCCATGTTAGACGGCCTTAAGAAGAACGAGGGGGTTGTCAAGACATCCTCGGTCAGCAGGGCAGTGTGCTTATGAGCATATGAGCCAGACGGAGATGACCTTCCCCCAAATGACCTCTCAAGACTGCACCACTGCATCACACACACAAGACCACAGACGATGTCATTGTTTCCATGGCATTGATCCCCAGCCTGCAGCTAGCAGAGCGTGGCTCTTTAGATCCACTTGGTTGCATGTCTGCACGCCGCAGTGGCCGCGCTGAGACGGATCTGCGAGGCCATGTCGTGTAAAACTGCTTCAGCTTGACAACAAACAGGCTAATTGGTCCCTGTTCCTGGCCTCTGGAGACGGAGAGAGAGAGAGGCTGAGGAAACACATCCTGGAGGTGGGGTGAGTGGGAAAGAGGCTCTCGCTTATAGTAGCACATGGAGAGTTTTGATGTGGGAAGTCACGGAGACCTCTCAATGAGCTTTCCGCACACACATAACGCTCAACAACAAAGTGAGTGAAGCGTACTAGTCCTTTTCTCACGTCTTACTACTTTCCATACTCATATACGCAAAGACTTGCTTCTCTAGTTCATGCGCACACTTTCACTCACTCTCTGGGGAAACGTGACCTGGGGCTGTGCAGTCAGGAAGCACACGTGTTAAAACCAGCTCCCTCTTGGCGCAGCTGAGTCACGCTGAAGTGTAAGGCATCATGGGGAGGAAGCAGCAGCAGCTGGTGTGTGGTGCCTGTCAAATGCGCTGCTTTAGAGTGAATCACTCCCTATCATCCTCTGCAATGGACTACTCTAGATCTTGCTCTCTCTCCCTTTGACAAGCGCTTTTCTCACTTTTCACTTTTCTGTTTGTCTGTCTCTTTCTCCAGCTCTTTTATTACCTTGCAAACACATCTAAAATCCCACCTCTGTGATCTCACAATTATTTTCTCAAGACATGATGCATATAGGACTGTAGCGTTATACAAAAAAAGGAAAATGTGGTTATTTTATTTCACTTCCTTTAGAATGGATTCATTTTTTTATTGAAGCTCAAAGTATACTTCAGCCGTCCACGTTCTGCAATGTTTTGCACACTGTCCGTGTGAAGTAATTTTAGAAATCAATAGGGTCCACAGACATCTGAGCTCACTGTGTGTGTGCTGCCTAATTTTTGCGCATACAACAGCACATGCACAAGGAGAATGTTGTTGAGACAGGAGAGTCCACTAGGTGTCAAACTTGTCCATTCGTGCTCATCCGTGTTTGAATACACGATGCGGACACAGCTGTGTACGAGATGGAGCAGAATGCGGAAAATGAATCAAAATTTAACTTTTATGTCAGCTTTAAGGTTGTTAATATTAGGAGTGGGAATCTCACACAATTTCGTTTATTAAGTCTGATTCATGGAGTCACCTAAATGATTCATGATACATATACATTTTTGTTATTGATTATTTAGCAGTACAAAGACAAAACAGTAGTGATCGACCGATAATGATATTTTATAACCGATACCGATACCAATTATTTGCGTTTATGTGCCCGATAACTGTTATAAAGTAAATAAATGACTGAGTGAAGTAAGTCCATACTTCACTTTGGTTTTTCCTCCTTTCAGTCATCTTAAAAAAATTTTTTTAAAAAAAGTGTTGAAAATTACCAGTCTTTCATGTTAAATTTAAAGGGGTCATATGATGCTGCTAAAAAGAACATTATTTTGTGTATTTGGTGTAATGAAATGTGTTTATGTGGTTTAAAGTAAAAAAAACACATTATTTTCCACATACTGTACATTATTGTTTCTCCTCTATGCCCCGCCTTTTTGAAACGTGTCGATTTTTACAAAGCTCATCGGTCTGAAAAAGCGAGGTGTGCTGTGATTGGCCAGCTATCCAATGCGTTGTGATTGGCCGAATAATAGCGTGAGACGGAAATGTTACGCCCCTCACATACTGTTGATGCCGTGTCCCGGCCGGAGCGACGAGACAAAAACATAAAACCCATTACAAACGAGGCATTTGTTGCATCCAGTGGGGACATAATTACTGATTATAATGACTTATACTGTCTTTTAACGCGTTGCGTTGCATCTCGCCGCGTAAACATAAAACCATGTCTGCATTTGTGATAG